GTGGTTTCTCCTATAACTTTTATACCCCTTTTTCTTACCTTGAGATCGAGCATGCATGTATGCTTTCTATTTAGTTTCTAAAAGTTTAGATTTTTTTTTTTTTTTTACACTTTTTAAATTTAATCCTTCTGTTACCTATTTGTAAAGTATGGTAAGTGGTAAGAACCTAAATTTACTTTTCCCCTAAGAGTTAGTGAATTATCAGGGTATCATTCACTGAACAGTCCTTCCCTCATTTATGACGCCATGTTTATCTTTTCCTGACTTACGCATTCTGCAACACTGAGCTCTTTGTCAACTTGGATGCCAGTACTTTCACTGTTGTTATTATTGTCACTTACAGATTACTATCTGCTGGGGCAAGCTGTCTACCCCATCACCGCTCTCTAACTACTTATTCTTGTTCTAACTCGCCTTGACTATTCTTTCCCATTTGTTCTTCCAGATGACCTTTAGAAAGCATTTTCTCAAGTTTAATCCAACAAGCAAAATAATTTTTTGTAATTGTGACATACAATTTATATTTCAATAAGAATACAATAAACCTTATGACTTTTTTATCGCAGCCCTTTGAGATAAAAGCATGGTGTTTTAAAGGCCAGAAGACTTGCTATGCGTCTGTAGCTGTTAGCAGGTTAGTCACAAGGAACAAAGTGCAGTGTCACAGTGCTGCCCTATTGTGGGAGCCAGAGACTGAACATTATTACTCAAGTCCTAGAGAGAGATGACACTGTTGTGTGAAGTGATCAAGAATCCCACCTCTAAACCATAAAGACACACAGAAAAGTCTACTGTGCTAAATGATTAAAGAGATGCCTTTTTGCTACCCATGACAAGTTCTTCCTAATTAGCCTGTCACATGTATAAATTTTTATCATAACAAATTAATTCCTTCCAGCCTCAACCACATAAGATTCTTCATTTGATCCACAAAACACAGGAAACCACTGCAGTGGCTATTTTTGCAATTTTCCCATGCATCTTATATACCTAGACATTAATTCACTATATATACTGGATGCCTTAGGGATTTAGGGCTTAATTCTCTTCCTAAAACTTTGGTTGAGAATAGACTTGTCTTTGTAAATGAAAACATCCCTAACATTGTAAGACCTCAAAATTTTAAAAAGGTGTAACAGTGAGATTTGTCGTACCTGGCTTGCTGTTGGTCGTTTCTTTGGATCCCAATTCAACATTTCAGTCATAAGCTGAATAGCTTCATTACTGGCATTTGGAATAAGAGTTTTTAAGTTTATAGGAACACACTGGGGAAAGCGGAAATTCATAGAGGATGCAAGCTGGTATCCTTCTGGCCAGTCACTCTGTTTCAGGAACATATAAGTGTGGGTGGGAGAGGGCAGAAAGAAAAATTGGTTTTAGTAATCCATTTAAAAACAGAATAGTAATACAAAAATCATTCATGTGTGAACATTTTAATGTTGATTCATATAAATAGCAGACCACATACACAATTCATTCAATGCTACAAACAGTACAGAAAGAACATCGAATGACAGGAAAAAATGAGAAAGCACTTTACTAAATTTCAAAATATTGAACTCCTGTCTGGTTTTGATGATGATGATGATGATGATGATGATGATGATGATGATACCTCAGTGACTTTGAACAAATAAGGGCAAGTGCTTTACAAAAAGGCTGATTACTACAAAGATCCTCATTATATATTATATATAGCCATCCAATGTTAAAAATTGCACATAGCTGGGAAGAGACAATCATGTCAAAGCTTTAATATCTACATCACTTGTCTAATGTTAACAAGGCATATTAATTTAATCAGTACACACACTTATTAAGCACACTAATTAGTACATACTTGCACTTACTAAGCACATCTCAGAAAGTAAGGTCTAGCTGAAATATAGTAGTTAATCAAAAAGTACTCATTTCAAGAAGTCGAATACCCACGGCAGAGTTATATAAAAGGAAACAAGAAAGGGTTAAGGTCCAGGGCACCAAGGGTTAAAGAGCTGATGCCAACAGACAATCACAGAGCAGGCAGGAACGAGCCTAAGCAGGTTGACTATGTAGCTGTCAGCTGGTCATCAACCCAAAGTCATACTCTAAATATACAGAATTTCCTTAAGTTCTTTTAAAAAGCACCTTTTTTCTTCAGCCTGGTGGGATTCTGGCTTCTTGCAATCCTTATCCCACCCCGATAAAAAGAAATATAAAGATGATAAGAAAATTAACCATTAAAGTATATACCTATTTAAAAGTAAAATATCAGATATCTAGGCAAAAGTTATAATCAAAAGTTATACAATTAATCCTAGCACTCTGGGAGGCCAAGGCGGGAGGATCCCTTGAGGTCAGGAGTTTGAGACCACCCTGAGCAAGAGTGAGACTCCGTCTCTACTAAAAATAGAAAAAGAAAATTAGCCAGTCAACTAAAAATAGAAACAAAAATTTAGCTGGGAGTGCTGGCTCATGCCTGTAGTCCCAGCTACTCAGGAGGCAGGAGGATCACTTGAGCCCAAGAGTTTGAGGTTGCTGTGAGCTAGGCTGGTGCCATGGCACTCACTCTAGCCCAGGCAACAAAGCAAGACTCTGTCTCAAAATAAAATAAAATAAAATAAAATAAAATTATATGATTAAAAGCAAAGTAACAAGTTATAAATAATCAAAAGTTATAACTTAGGGACAAGAGTACTTACTTTTCTGGGAGTCCCTAAAACTTGGCAAATCTTAAAGATTTCATCAACCTCACTTGTCCCTGGGAAAAGTGGCCTTAATGTATATAATTCAGCCATTATACTTCCAACAGCCCATACATCAATGGGAGAGCTATAAACTGAAGATCTTAATAAAACTTCAGGAGCACGATACCTACGAAAATAGAAAACAAAACAAAAATGGCTATTTTCATTGTAATTTGAAACAAGGATGGGCAGTGGCATTCTGCTCTGTTTGGCCATGCGTTTCAATCAAGAAACAGGTATTAAGTGCCTTCTGTACAACATGACATGCTGGGGACAACTGGACATGACACATGTTCCCTGACCACAAACAATGAGTGGGGCTGGAGACAAATGTAAGTGAAATGTCCACGTAGTCTAAGAAAGGAACTCAAATGAATAAATATGGAAATAAGTGCTATTCCATGTATTAAGAAAAAAGGGAGAAAAACCATTTACAAAGCATTATTAGATCCAGTATATATTCACACGGAGGACAGAAAAGAAAAGATTAACAAAGATTATCCCTGAGTGGCGGATTTCTTCTTTTTATCATTTTGAAAGTACTGATACCCTTGATTGATTCCTCTCTATAGACAACAATATTGTTAATTGAGACAAATATTTACAAGAACAAAGGTACCTGGTAAGTCCAACACGAAGTCTGGTAAATGGAAGATAGTCTCAATTCTAATTCCTTTTTCCATATTGAAATGTATAAATATTTCAGTCCAAATGTTTTATAATACTGTCTTTTTGCTTTCATTCAGAGTACAGTAGGTCCTCACATAACAACACTATGCTCAACATTGTTTTGTTATAACGTTGATGAGAAAAAAAAAATTGCTTCCCAGCCGGGGACCCTGTCTGTGTGGAGTTTGCACGTTCCCTCCCACGTCTGCGGGGGTTTTCTCCGGGTCCTCCAGTTTCAACCCACATCCCAAAGATGTGCACACCAGGGGAACCTGTGTGTCTACGTGGTCTAAGCATGGGTGTGCGTGTGAGTGCGCCCGTGATGGGACAGTGTCCAAGCCAGGGCTGGGTCCCACCTTGGCCCTAAGCTACTGGGGCAGGCTCTGGCCACCCACGACCCTGAACTGGAACAAACAGGTAAATAATTATTTTCCTTGTTTTTGTTAATCTTTCTTAAATGTATGTATAGCTCACATTTATTACAATGTTTAGTATTAGAAGTGTTTTGATCTTTATTTAGAAGTTCAGTGATGTTTTTGTGACCAGAAACATGGCATAGGAACTTCACTCTTGTTTATATCAATTAGCTCATGGGAAAATTGGTTTTGTTATATGCTGTTTCACTTAAAGGTGCAGTTCGAGAACCTATCGACAGAGTTAAGGGATGACTTACTGTACTTCGACAAATATTTTTAATTGCTTTATTGAGATATAATTTACATAACATACGATTCATCGATTTAAAGTGTACAATTCAATGGCTTTTAGTATATTCACAGAGCTGTGCATCCATCACAATTTTAGAACATTTCATTAATCCCAAAAGAAACCTCATGCCTCTTATCCATCCATCTTCCTAAGTCCCCAGCCCTAGGCAACCACTAACCCACTTTCTGTCTCTACAGATTTGCCTACTCTGGACATGTCGTATCAGTGGAATCTTGGGCTATCTGGTCCTCTGTGACTGGCTCTTTTCACTTAGGTAATGTTTGCAAGGTTCGTCCACGTTGGAGCATAAATCAGTATTTCATCTTTTTATTGCTGAATAATATTCCATCATATGGATATAGCATATTTATTTATCCATCAGAGGTGAACATTTGAGTTCTTTCTACTTTTTGGCTATGTTGGTGACTCAGAATATTTTTAATTTGTGTTGTAAGCAGCACGTGTAAACAGCATGAGGTAAAGATTTTTCTCTTATGTTTGTTCGCTGCTGTGTTCCCTGTGCCTAAAAGAATATTTGGCACATAGTAGGTGTTCAATAAATACCTGTTGAATGAATAATGAAATTCTTTTTCCTTCTTTTTGCATTGATCAGAATAGTAATGAACCAATCCTCTCTCTTTAAAGAAAACAAAATTCAGTTCTATATGGAGCCTCTAGAAAGATATGTAATAATCCATTGTAGGAAAACTTCAACAAAGACTTATGCCTCAGGAGAGTTGCATAAAACTACTCACCATCTGGTAGAGACATAATCAGTATATGGTGGCTGTGACCTTAATTCTCTTGCAAGTCCAAAATCAGCAATTTTCACAAGTTCTGGACCCATACAAAGCAAGTTTTCTGGTTTCATGTCCCTATGAAAAAAGCCTTGGTAATACAGAGAGAAAAAAA